TTAATTTCTTTCAAACATCAGTGATGATGCCATGTTGTTTGGTAACTCGAGTTGGTGTGAAAGATCTTGGTCCCACATTTTCTTATGTTCAACCACATGAATGGTTAATTGATTTAAAAGTGAGAGGTTGTGTCTCTTCATCATTCTATCAAATGAAAGTTAAAGAACTGTTGGCTTAATCTTTTTGATTTCAATGATTTGACACACTTCTGCAAAGAAAGCTGACTCGAACTTCTGTTCCTGATCTGAGTGAAGTTCAACAGGTACCCCCAAATCTTATAACAAATTCAATGACAAGTTTTCTTGCTAAGAGTTTCTGCTTGTTAGTTAGTAACATTTATTTTAATTTAAATTTTTTAAACTATTAATTTTTAATTTGTACATTTTAGTTTCTGTAGTTAAAGAATGTGTAACAAAAAATGAAAAGTGTATATGAAAATCAAGCAATTTAGCACTTACCTTAGCAGTACATTGATTTGCACTTGGTTGTTTAATTTCATAAGCCTTCTTTTTTTTTTAATTGTATTCATTGCCCAAAAAGTAATTCATGTGACTTTCATATATGCATTTAGAATACAAAGAAATATATTGGGCACTAAAATAGAATGTCCCAAACTACCATCATTTATCTGAATTTCTAACTAAGCTATAAGTAGGATAAATATTTCCATTACTCTTTGGATTGTTGACACTTGCAAAATAGTAGCTTTAACTATGAAAAATACAGTTTTCAGAACTACATAGTTCACAAAATAGCTTGTCTGTTAATCATAAACATGAACCACTGACAAGAAGGCATGAGCATTTAAGTGAAGTTCTTACTTGCACAGTTAACTATAATGGTAAACAAGGGTGGTATATTTTGCAAAAATTTGATAATCTTTTATGTAAACAAATTGCCTCGTGAATGTTTGAAATTCCTTGTAAAAGATAAGATATGAAAGCAGCTTCGGAGGCTAAGCATATAGTGCCTATATTCTCTGCAAAAATACAATGTGTTTCGATATCACATGAGGATCTATATGGTTCCTAACTCACTTGTACTTTTAATTTTGATTATTATTACTGTAAATTTTTTCCATTAAAGTGAAAACACTATAATTTTTTTTTCTCACTTGGAAAACTAAATGTTACATTGGGTAAGGACTAGCAGAGAATATTTACTGAATATTCTAATAATAGTTTTATACAGTTTTTATAAATGTTGCCACATTCCTACTTGTATTCTATGGAGTAAAGTTATTGCACCAAGACTAGACAGTAGAAAGAGCAGCCCGTAAATGAAACTTTTGGGTTCTTTCAATGATAGAAATAGCATTGTATTCCAAAATATAAAGACTGAAAACTTGAGTGGCTTTGAATAGCTGACTAATTGAAAGCACTTGAGTTTGTTTTTTTTGTTGTTTTTTCAAAATTTATTGCTCCTTGTGTGCGTGATTCTGTGTGCTAACTCTTATCAGAAGAACTATCATTGTGGTATTCACTGACTTTGTCTGACAGAAGGAAACTGGACAGTAGTTTGCACACAGTAACAATCTTTATTCACAGAACACAATCAAAATTAAGGTTAGTACAACAAGTGTTTGTAATATATCTTTACTCAACAGAGAGAAATGTGATAGTGTATTTGAAAGCCCTTAACATTAAGTGTTCAAACTCTTAAGTCTAAATCCAATAATTTGAAGAACAACTGAGATAGGGTGGAGATATAAACTATGACATGTATAAGTGTTTACATTTAGGCATATTTTTTAACATTTTTATCTAGGTAAGTCTTCAGGGAAAAGAAACAAGGTCAGTGTACCTGTGTATGTCCAGTCTTTGTCTGTGCTAAATCTGTCTTTGAGAACTGCCACACAAGACAATGGCCAAGTTGTTAGTTAATATTTTAAGCAAATCATAATTGTTTGCTGGCATGTGTTGGTCAATTGTAAAGACAGAGTAAGAAATGTGTTTTTAATTTTCCTGTTATTTGGACTTGCCTGATGACTTGGCATTCTGTAAGTTATAACAAAGCTTGGAGTTTGTAATATAAGTCTACATGTAACAGGTTCTAATATTGATAAATTATTGTTGTGTTAGTTCTAAGCTATATGTGTTTAAATAATGCACATATTTTAACATGTTTGAGTTCTAGAAATTGTGTATCTAAAACTACCTCATTAAAGATTTTCATTTCTTTACTTGTTAATAATTTATTCTTGGTCAGTATTCTTCTGTTTAATTTGATAATTATATATTTTAGTTTTACTTGCTAAAACTTGATAAACTTGCGTCTTGTCCATGTACTGAACAATTTCTAACAAGTTATAAATAATCACTTTAAGCTTAATAATGTTGTTTTGTGATCATACTATTGTATGTATGACTTTGTACCGAAGATAAATAATTCTAATTATCTTGAACAATAATCAAATTCTTTATTTTAGTTCTACGAAAATATAACAACTAAGGAATGATAATCATAGAAGTAACACACAATTACATGACAATGTTGGTGCTGAAAATATTAGAGTTTAGGTTACAAATTCCAGTATGTTGTGTAATACAATTTAATAAACCATTCTGTCATTTCTAAATAAATATGATGATCACTTGAAACTCAATGGACATTTTTAAGTTATTTTTTTTTACAGAGATTGTCTTTTATCTGCTCAAGTGTATTACATGTAAATTTCATCACTGTGTAATGGTAACTGGTAATTGTAGATGATAATTTGCTTTGATTTCATCTAATGTCTACTTAGTTGTCTTTGGGGTGGATACACATGTTCTTCCAGTTTATAGAAAACATCACTTTCTGTATTAGAATGCTTTGTTACGCTAATTAAACTCCATTTTTATTAATTAGTAGTTTATGCTTCATTGGTAGCTAGTGTTATAATTATTGTAACTAGTTTTTATTCTCTTATCAAATAATCTAAACTTTCATTAAGTGTATTAAGTATTTTATGGGCCATTATTGCATTATCTTTATCTAATACTTGATTTATTTCATTACAAATTTAGTGTGTTTTTGTACTTGTGTACCAAATCTATCATGTTTGAGTCTCATAGTTGGTAGATCTTATATCTGTTTCTTATCAAGCACAGGGTCACATGATCTTAAATGAAAATCTTGGGTTTCTGTAGTGTGCGTTAGCAGGATTGCAACACTTTTCTCCGTCACAAATACTTTCTGAAGTTTGCATGTCTGCTATTCTCAGCTCAGCTACATTGGTTGGTTGTACATTCTTGCCAGTGCCTGTATTTATGTTGGTTATGCATAATTAACTAAAATAAAGATTAATAACTGTTTAGTAAAAAACACACTGTGGGTATTTTACATTATTCTTACATATGTGCTATGGCACTGACATCATACTGTTTGACCGATTAAGTTGCTACGGCAGAAGAAGTTTAACTATATTTTAAGAATATATACATTGTTGATTGAATGAAATTGTTACATGTAATATTTATAAAGTAGATTTAAACTGTTTTAAACTTCAAAGCATTTTGTATGTGAATAGTGAATTCAGTAGCTTGTTCTTAATCTTTTGTTAATTTTTTTCCAAATTGTACACCTATCATTTTTATTTGTGCAACTTTATTCAAAGTGTTTACAATTTTTCAAATGTTTGTATGTTTGTAATCATAATTTAAGTAGACTACTATATTTGTATAGTATCAAAAGTAAAAAAAAAAAAATAGGAACCTGATATGATAATCAAAGATTTTACACTTTCTATTATTTTTATTATAGCCATTTTTAATGCTTGCATCAAAAATACTCTTCTCTACATGTGAAGGTTGTCATTTGCAATGTTACCCTCTTGTACAAGTACCAATTCCTATAAGAATGTCATTAGTTTATCACACATTCTTATAGCTTTTATTTGTAGCCTGTAAACAAATAACATTATACTACCTATACTTACCCTTTAGCTGACACGTGTAAAATCTTAGATCTAATATTTAACATTCCTTGCCATATATTTGCTACTGTGATATTATCAATTGAACTGATTTCCTTGCAAGAATTAAATAGGCTTGCTTAATAACAGCAGGGTCAAACAGGAAATTTGAAAGTGGTCTGAATTTGAATACTTTACTGAGTTTTAAGCTGTGTGAGAAATGCACAGAATATACACTATGATGTTAGGTATAAACTAGTTTTTATTACAACACACAGCAATAAAAACAACAGTATGTATACTTGCATAGGCATGTGTATGATCACCTCTAATGAATTAGTTAGTTGACTTGAAATGATAATCTGATGAAAACCACATAGAACTCTCTAGAATCAAGACTCCATGTGGATTCAGGAAATCTTGATTCCTTTGGTTTGTAATAGCATCGCCATGTGACTGGTCATTCTCTCACAATATTTGTCAGCTGTGACAGACACCAGCTAGATTTTGACTTTGGCACATTAATTTGTTTAAAAGAGAAAATACAACCATTAAATTGCTTTGTTTTTGTGTATGTTGGGTAGATTTTAGTTATAGGCAGTGAGCACACTGTGGTATTAATATGAGACTAAAGTAACTAGGTAACTAGATAAATGCATGATTGGAAATGGTAGAAAATTCAAGAAGGGGTAAGAGAAAGGAAAGAGGGAGTTTATAAAATTAATCTTAGCAAATAAGAATAGCTATAATAATAATATAGGTACTTTTTTCTTTTTAACTACTAAAATTTTGTTGATTGGAATATTACTGTTACATGTTTGATCAATTTGACAATACTTTTAAAGTAGTTTAGGTATGCTTTAAAGCTACATAATATGAGTAGCATATTGGTAACCTGGGAATGTTTTGAAGTGTTTTGTGTAACAATAAAATTGTGTTAAAAATGTTTATTTCACTAGGCTTGTTAATGATAGTATTCTAAAATCATTTGCAAGCTTTTCAATATTTCATTGCCATTTTATTTGAACATAGTTTTAATGTGAGTGTACTGTAAAATCTTCTCTTACCACACACTCTTCATCCTTCATTTTTCATCACTTCTAGACAATTCAAGAACCCATTGATAAAGGACGTAAATTAACTTATTCAGAGGTAGCGCAAAGAGCCAAAGACAGAGTTGAAAAACTGGCTCAGGAAATTAAAGAAAGAGAACGACAAGAGGCTATGGTTCGCCAACAACGTCATATAAACACTTTACAAAACAAACAACAGTTTTCTGCTGCCCGTAAGTTAAATTTATTTTTAAACTACTCTATGTTAATTTAAACTACAATAATGCTAGATATTCCCATTGTGGTAAGTTCATTGGTAAATAGTGAGGTGCATAATCCAACATTAACTTGTAGTGAAAGAAATGTTACTTAGAATTAGTACTATAGACAAAATACATGAACATTAAATTAAAAAATTATAAAATAAGTTACTGACCATTATAGAAATAATACATTTCTAGCAAGTTTTGTTGACATCACATGTTTACTGTATTTTTCTACAGAAACTACACTTGAGTAATCAGTTTAAAAATTCTTTTGTATGGATTAAATAAAGTAATTATTATAGGTTAGCGATTTTGCTGACAGATGCTGTAAGAAAATAACTTTTTATGTAAATTGCTTTTATTGCTATTTCATTAATGTATACTAATGGAACTTGAAATATAATTCCAATATGAAAATTATTTTACAGTTTGATTATGCTTTTTGCCGATTATAAAGAAATTGCTGTTGCCAGAATTATATTAACTTTTGAAATTAAGTGTAAAAAAACATTTTGTTGGATGAAAAATCTTAAGACAAATTTTCTGGTGTCCACTGTGACAAAGAGCCATGGTTTAACATGTTTAATGCCAAAACTTTTTTATTGCATGTTTTTTGGATGTCATTATTGGATACATTTATTTAAACCAAATTTCTACCTAGCATCATTTCCTTCAGACTACACAACATTGTTGTGGACTAAATGTTCAATGTTTAAATTTGGATGTTAGCTAGAAGGACACATGATGCTATGATCAAGTAAGTTTGTGGGAGTAGGCCTAGATCATTCTGGATGATGTCACAAAAATCTAGTAACTTTGGAGGGCACCTAGAAACAAGACTAGATTATAAATATGAGAATCAGTGTTTTGCTTTCAGCAAGTGGTAAATGGATATTGAATTGGTTATGTTTGTCATCTTTTGATAAATAACATTGATCCAAAAGATACTTCACTGAATTTAAACTGACAAAGTCCAAAGTCAAGTAGGTGTTCAGAAAAGCTTTACATTGTACTGAAAAGAATCAATGTGGAGTGTAGAATCTTAAAGATAAGCCATCCAAGCCAAAGGTCATCTTTCATGATAGAGTTTGGAAGTACATTGGTGAGAGAATGACCAAATTTATAACTCTGTGAAGAATTTGCGAGTGGAAATTGGACTGCTGAAGAGCCCAAGGTTCTAGTTCAGAACATTTCTAGAGGATCCTCAAGAGTTCAGCTGCCTGTGGATACATTTTATCACCTACTTACCCAAGATGAAGACCTCCAGCAACAGAACAACAAGAGACAAGAAGCCATCCCATCTGTATACCATGGGACTCAGAAAGGAAAACAACCAAAAAAGACCTGGAGATTCTGCAGTTTTTTTGTTGTTGTTTTTTGTATTAGAATTGTTCATGGGACTTCACAATCCAGGAAGGAGGCAGTGTTGTGTGTGCTGTTATTTTCAGTGTTTTTATTCTGATGTTAGCTATAGGGTGCATGACATTAATATTGAGTAAGTATGTGAGAGTAAGCCTAGAACGTTCTAAACAACATCACAATAATCTAGTAACTTTGTAAAGTATCTGGAAACAAGGCTAGATTATAAATGCAACAAACAGCATTTTGCTTTCAGTGAGCAGTGACTAGTAAATGAGTATTGAGTTAGTCGAGTGTTGGTCAGTCAGTTTTAGTTCAGTGAAATATTTAATTTTAGTAAAGTATTTGGATCAGTCTTAGTTATTGCATATGTTCAGTTACTTGATTGATCATTGAAACTGTAGAAGTATGTTTATGCTAGTCATAGTATAGTTACTGTTCCTGGTATTTCCATTGAAACATCTTTTCTAAACTTGGCCTATAAAGTACGAGTTACAACAGTATACAGGTGAAGGCAGTTTGATGAAACACTAAGGAAGAAATAAATTGATTTGTTACTGTTGCATGGACTGGACTTTGAATTATTTCCAACAAATAGTTTAAAATAACTTGCCCAGTGAAAGAACAATGTTACAACAATATGAAGATTGTGATATCAAGTAACTGTGGTGGATTAGGACCAAGTTTATTATTATTCATATAAAATGAAAATGTTAGAAGTCTATTAGCTTATGCCTGTATTTAGACTAATTCTAAATTAAAGTTTTCCAGAATAAAACAAACAAACACAGCATTAAAAATGCTTTTTAGCCACAGCATAAATAAAGCTCCTTTTTGAAGTACAAAGTTTTAGCTCATGGCTCTGTTATCTTTTGACTGATTTGAGATCTAATTACGTTTTCGGATCTGGGAGGTGAAACCCTTTTGATCGATGTATTTGACCACACCCAAATTTACTCTCACACTGCCTAAAATAATTTAAATTTGAAGGTAGGCTGGTAGAGATCCTAATTAGTAATAAAATTGAATTGGATATGCACGAGCCCAATGCTTGGTATTACTGGTGCACAAAAATATAGTTAATAAAAAGAGAAAAAAGGTCACACAGATTAATTTACACTAATCCTGTCTAAAAGAATTTCAAGTGCCATGGCTATTGAAGATTCTCTCTTGTTATATTTTACTTTGATTATTTATAAAAAAAGATACTTATTTTTCATTTAAAATCTGCCAACATGTGTTTACTAAATTTGTGAACATATCAAATGTTGTCAGTGATAGTATGCTTTTGACTATTTATCATGTGTGTGGGTTCTGATTTTCATACAGAATTTGAAGTATGTTCTTTGATAAAACTTGTATTGAAATCGAGGGATTATAAAATTTTAGCTTTTTATCACAATACTCTAACATCCTACATTTTCTAAAATTCTGTATGAAAATCAGAACACACACTAAGAACAATAATACCTGGCTCAAGGGATTTAAAAGAACCTGATTATGTGTATTGTAATGTAACCTGGAGATCTCAGGCTTTTTGAATATAGTACTTAAGATTTTGAAAATTTCTTGATTTATACCACATGTTTTCCTGTGGGAAAACAGGAATTTCTGTTTGAAAATTAAGATTATTAACTCATTAATATGTTACACTTAAACCCATGATAACTTTATTTTTGAAAATACTGTGTAAAAATACATTGCCAAATTCTTATTACTATGATATATTTTACAATCAGGATAGTATAGTATGTTAATCTTCTAAAACTTTAGCATCTATGAACTCATTTTTAGTTGTTGTTTTTTCTGTCTTTGGAAGTTTTGTGGTACTGTTGTGTGAAACTTGTTAATATAGTAAACAGTTCTTGTAAATAACCTGGACTCGAGAAATTTTCATTTAAAAAGTTTCAAAAGTTCCTGTGAGTTTTTGTAATGATTTTTATATTTTCCCTAGTTAGTTTATTTTAGTAAGTACAGAATTCATACTTCAGTTACTGTGTGTAGATACTCATTGTAAATATTTATCAAGTTTATAAATCATAAAGTAAAATACCTTTTAACTCTAGAATTACAGATTGGGTCCCTTAAACTTGTAAGTACATTTTCCATAACTATTTATGTATCAAATTGCTTGTATGTCCATTACTGTTGGGTACAGGTATTCTAATAATGTATGAGTCACACAAAAAATGTGAACAAAAATTCCAATAGTACTATAGCTAATCTCACTAATTAGTACTGGGATTTCCTATGTATTTTATATAGAAAATTAGTTAGTTCACCAAATTGTTTGACTTTTTTGTTATATTGAGTTTTGTAACAGGCAGTACATAAAATCACTTATTATGAAGTATATGGATCCCACTGTTAGTGAAGTGTGTAAAAATAAATTGGCATTATTCAGTTTCTTTCATTAAATGGTTAAATTTCAAGCTTATAAATTTTTTTTGAATTCTTAGAAAATGACATTAAACCTTCTGCCTACTTCAAGAAAAAAGCAAACAATTAACTGGTTCAGTTACTGTTATTTGTTCTGAAATGTTTAACCATCAACAATAAGTTATTTAAAAGTTTTCTTTCCTTGCCTGGGATTCGAACTCAAGACTTACTAAATTCCAAGCGAGTGCTCTATACCAACTGAGCTAAAAGATTAACCTACTAGTAAGTTACTTTGTTTAACAACTAACTTAGACTACCACTTCTTCCATTATCACAAACAAGCTTTCACATTGGGTGCTATTTTTTCTTGTGGTAATTTTAATTTTTTACTTGCTTGGCTCAGATTCAAATCTGAGACTTGCACTCACTAAAACTTGCTAGAAAAACACATTTTAACAACTCAGACTATCACACTAAAAGACATGTAATGAAGGTTTAAATTCTAATGTTCTCAGGGATCGTAGGTATGTATGTAAAATCAGACGAATAACATACTTCCCATTTGACCTTTTATTTTTGATAAACAAGTTTTGATTTTGATTTTATTTCTTGCATTGGTTTTTGTGCAGAAAGTGATGGATTTGACTGTATTTTGGTTTTACTCAATAATACCTCTGTAGGGAGCTTTGCAGTTGCATGTGAATGTTTAATATTCATGCATTATTTTAAGAGTGCTAAATTATAGATTGTTTGATATTTTTGACTCTGTTATTGTTATGGGCTGTCTAGGTATTAGTATTAGGTTGTCAAGAAATTAATGTCCCCTTTTTTTTTATGAAAAAACCTGAACAACTTGTATATCAAAACAAAACATTTATTAAATGAAATAGACTCCATTCTTATCAATGGTGCTTTTCCATCTTACAATCAGGTTGTTAATGCCCTGATTAACGAAATCACTTGGCTTTGAAGTAAAAAAACATGTTGATGTCCTATTTAACACCTTCCACATTTGGAAACATTTTCCAATTAAGATGGCATTGCAGCGAATGAAAAAGATGGTAAACTGATGGTGCCATATCTGGAGAATATGGTGGGTGGGGAAGAACTTCCCAACTCCATAATATTGTGTTGCATCAAATGTGCCACATGTGGACGTGCGTTGTTGTTAAGAAGAACACCTTTCCAATTGATGAGTGAAGGGAGTTTCTGATGAAGGGCTTGATTTA